TTGTTATTAAAAACATCAGCGAATCTCCCTCATCCTTCTCTTTCATGTCTCATATCACAACAGCGTTCATTGGAAATATTTTTAACAGAATATTACAAACACTAAAATGATTACATTATCTATGTTCAACATAGTCCTCGTTTAGCTCAATGTATTTTTTGCTAGCGCTTGATCGAACAGGTATATAACAAGTCTTTGCGCTGCCTGTCGGGACGTACAGTCACTCCGAAATTCTATTCTACTAAGAAAGTGGTTTTCAACTTGTTTTGTCTAGTGCATTCCTATCATCATTGTCAAAAGGTAATCTTCCTCCTTTCCCAAACTCGAAAAATATATTTATTTAGATTTAGATTACTTTGTAATGTGTTTTATAAATTAAACAATAAGAGATTCAGAAAATTTTGCTAAAAACCAAAGTTAGAATAATTTTTTTTATATTCATAAAGGAGAATAATTATGGTAAAATAACATGCAGAACAAGTATTAATTTAGAATTCAAACAACGAAAATCAGCGTTATATTTGCAAATAGTGAACATTCGCAAATATAACGCTGATTTTCGTTGTTTGAATTCTAAATTAAAATTGAATACTTAATAGCTAAATTAAAACTTGACCGGAATTTGCTCTGAAATTATGAAATCCCCCCAGGATGGAATTACGCCTTGGTTGAGAACACCAGTATTAAGAAATGTACTCAACTTATAGTACTTCTAGAAAGAAGCCCAGACCAGAAAGTGGCTAGTGACTCTGTCTGCCATCCTGAAGGGTTCGGGTTCGAGTTCCGGAGAAGGCATGGATGTAATTTGTCCGTTTCTTCATAGGAGGTCCTCCTTTAAGTGCCTCCATAATAAACAGACCAATGGTTCCGGTCTAAATAGTGCCCAATGCCTGTAAACCACTAGACCCCGCCATTGGAAAAAAACATATACATATCTCTGGTGATGGTATGCTGCAGAAGTACTTCATCAGCAGCTTCATATCCACACAGAAGCTCTACGCATTCATCGACACATGGGAATACGCCACAGAACTGACAATGCATAAAACCGACAAGGTGTCTGCTGGCGTAAGATCGACAAGGTAGTTCAAAAACTGCTCTCGACTTTGTGCCGGCGCCGCTCCTATACTAAATTAAAAAAATTATTTTCCCCTTGATTATGTGATGCTGTTAATTATAATACTTGGCTGCATTAGGCAATGTCTATTGCTTATCACTGTCGTACTTAAGCTATGTCTATGTCGAATCTCTGCAAGATCTGTCGTATGTCTGTGAAAACTCTGGGAACGTGACTTTCATTGATACTTTTTATTAAAATTTCTGTTTTATTATGTCGGTCGTATGCCAGAGTGAACGCTGTGCCAGTAACGGTTCTACGTCTTTTCGGTCCCACGTAATATATCGATCTTGTGTAGTGTCGATCTTATGAATGTAACCAGAAACGTCTCTGTTTTATTTCAAGAATCAGCGCTTGGATACTCCCCTGGCACACACTTTGCGGGACTTAGTTTTTTATGAATTGTGATCCAATGCATAAAACTCTGCAGTGATATCATTTTCTGGCTGTATCCCATATCACATTTTTCCCGGTAGAATGTTGTCTTCTTTGAATGATGGGCTGGGAGAGAAGAGACCTCCTCTCCCAGCCCATCATTATGCTTATGTCGCATTGGTCTCCATTTTTCTAGGCTTTACTCCGTCTATAAACAAAATATGACAACGCTTTCTTTTTAGTGAGATGTTTCAAGGGTTTCCTTCGTTATTATGCACGTACAGGTGCAATAATACCACCTATTGTGTGAAGGTCACATAACCAAGGCAACAATGTATTGGTATTATTACCAAAGGAATCTTGGATCTTACATTCAATTTTAAAACAACTTTTCCAGTTTTTCATTGAACTTAATAATTAATATGACTCAAATATGTATATTTTATTTTTTCGCCTATCGCATTTTATCTAAAAAAGTTAGATAATTAAGATTAGTTTCTGTAAATTAAAATATAGTTCATAATGATGCATACAGGAAGAGAGAAAGCTTTTTCTATAAAGGGAGCAATTTCTGTTCCTAAGCAATGAATAAGTGAATGAACTAAAAAATAGAAGGTCCGTCTATAATGTCTAACTTGATTTCTGTGCTGATGTTCTCTGGGCTACGGACTTGGCAAAATTGATAGGCCCATCTATATATGCGCATTCACTTTAATTAGTTTAATAGCTTTTAAAGAAAAATTGTCATTGCGATAATAACCTTACAAGGAAAAATGTAAAAAGTTATGAATTAAAGAAAAATAAACTTAATCTTTCTTAGCCGAAAAGGAGGAAAAGAGATTTGAATGGTTAATTATCCCAGTATTTTGCTGTATATTGATGCAGAAGTTCAGATACTGTATATTAATACAGAATTCTGGAGTCCTACTGCATATTGATACAGAATTAATATTTTATTTTAAGGCTCTTATTGATTTTAAGTTTTCCAAGAATTAAAAGTATATCAGTTAGCTTGGTAGGATGACAGATATATATGTCGTTTCAGTTTTGCGGAAAGTTTTTAAAATTGCAAATGGCTGCTATTACATTATTACTCAAGACCTATAAAGAAATTTAAGTAGAGTAACATTAAAACTTATTCAGGGTCATATTAAATCAATTTGTACATCTTTAGTTAGTGAAGACTCTAGTTTATTATAATATATTAGTATTATAGTATACATTGGTGTGCAAAAATAAAGGACGAAGTCGAAAAATTAGCATATCAGCTGAACGAAGAGGCAGAGCGGACAGAAAGACCAATCAGGAGATTAAGTAAGGTGATGTACGGTAGCACATGCGCAGATATGCAGGTAGACGTAATGGGGAGTGTCTGAGTAGTATAAAGCATGTCGTCGGTGTAAGATCAGTATTTCTGGCAAAGAGATTGCACGCCGTATAGCAGTTAAAATCACACCGAGTTGCTGCCTCAGCGAGAAATCAATCTGTTAGACGACATCTGGATGCTTTTACCCGAGGTAGAATCATTGGGAAGTTGGAGGAAGGACCGCAGTGTGACAAGTGTGGCTGCAGAGATCTGAATTACTCACAGCATCGTTTCACGACGTTGGAGACAATTTCAAACTACAGGAACAGCTATCCAGGGGTTTAGTGGTCGTCCACGAGGAACCACACCTGCAGATGACCGTTATATTGCCTTACAGGCCAGAAGAAACAGGCGGCAGACAGCGGGAGAAATTGTTAGACACACGACACAGGCGACTGGACGACCGATATCGCGTTTTACCGTGGCCAGAAGACTGCACGGTGGTGGTCTGTTTGCACGACGCTCTGTACGGTGTGTACCTCTAACGCCTGCCCATCGGAGAAGGCGTTCTCTGTGGTGCCGGGAACACCGGAATTGGAGAGACAATGAATGGGGACGAGTACTCTTTACAGATGAGAGCAGATTCAGTCTGAGTAGCGATTCTCATCGCATACTCATCTGGAGAGAGCGGGGAAGCCGCAATCATTCCTCGAACATCATTGAAAGGGACAGGTATGGAGGTGGCGTGCTCTCGTTTGGGGAGGCATCATGTTTGGTAGTCGTACAGACCTTCACATCTTCGACGCAGGTTCAGTCAACGGGACCCATTATTGTAACGAGATTCTTCTTCCATATGTGCGTCTTTTTAGAGACGCTATGGGTCCGCAGTTCCTTTTCATGGACGACAATGCACCATGTCATCGCACAGTAGCTGTCGAACAGCTCTTAGAGAGTGAGGATATTGAACGTATGGATCGGCCGGCACGATCTCCGGATCTCAATCCCATCGAGCATGTATGGGATTTTCTAGGCAGACGCTTGGCAGCTCGTACCTTACCACCAGTAACGATTCCGGAGCTTCGATTGGCGCTGCAAGACGAATGGGCAGCAATGCCTCAACAACTCATTGACACCCTCATTCTCAGCATGGGCAGACGCTGTCAAGCCTGCCTAGCAGTCAGGGGAGATCATATCCCCTATTAAAGACCGGATGTTTCTTGCTGGACACCCATCACAGGGATGTTTCGGCCTTCAGTCGCATTGCACTCCATGCTACTTTTTCAATAAAGCTTCTTTTTATCCCTCTGATTTCTCTTTTAGTAAGTATTGCTTACATTACTCATGTCCTTACGTATTGGGGATCTTACGGTTTTAAATGTGTTGATTTGGAAAGGTTTTGTACAAAGTTATATTGAAAAAACCGTCTCGTCCTTAATTTTTGCACACCATTGTATACTAATTTATTTCTGTTGTACAGTTTTGTATATGTTATTATCGAGTTTTATTATTATGAGAATAAAAAACGTTTATCAGCGCAAGTATGTAATTGAACTAATATAAACAGAGCTCTGTAAATTTACATTTAATACAAAACTAGAGATTGTAAGAATTATGTTAATTTTATTAACATTTAAATTTTGAATTAAAATTCCTTTCCTACCAATTCTTAACTTCAACTTACCACTTCCGGCTAGAACGTAGTTTTAGAATTACGTCTGAATACATAATGAGGAAGTGCGGTATTTAACCGCGAAGTTCTTCGGTCTTAGAGAGAGAGATACCAGGTATTCTGGCTGCGTGCGTCCGCCTTTTTAGGCTATTCTCGTAAGCTATTATCACGTTCGGCCGTACTTTAGGCCCTTAATAGCTTCGCTGTCTATTAACGTTAAGGGGCCCTACTCTGTTAGAATTTGAATAGCTTCGGCTATACCTCTTTAGTTTAGATTAGTTTAGTATTATTCTTAGTCTCTTAAATTCAAAGCCCAAATGTCGGCTTTATTGTACACTCCAAGACGGAATTTTATTAAACTTTAATTGGAATAATAAAGGGTTAGTTTACCTTTCTATCTTGTTGTTTCCTGTCACACGAAAACAAGCGATTATTCGCTTATCAGTTCTTAAGATTCTTCACTTCCAACAGTAACTTAGAATTACAAAGTGAGGAACTCTACAAGATAAACTAGAGATAATAAATTTTGTTACCTTTGTTTCAGTATCTGGAGACTTGAAGGTTAAGCTGAACCAGTATAGATGATCTTTTCTCATCTTCTTATTGGATTCAATCTCTATAGATTGTTCAATTAAATCGTCAACTTCCTCGCTGACCGTGGGTGTCAGTGGCCGATGAGTGGATGCCTTGCGACCCTTTGCTTCTTCTTTAGCGGGTATAGGGGTAATTTCTTCATCTGTGGAATCGCGAATACATTCCAGCTAGTTGAATAAAAATAAAACTTAAAATCAGTATGTTTCACTTATTAGAGAAATCATAATACGTTTCATTCTGAGTTTTTGTTTATCTCATGCTAATGTCTCCTTTCAATTCCTTCGATCTCGTTTTTTTATAGTAGCCAATGCACAGCGAGCTATAAAATGTAAGAACAGGCATATGTAAAGAATAAGTTAGATCAACGGTTCTCAAACATTTGACCTTTGAGTCTAAACAAAAACTGAAAAACATTAGTACCATCATTACATTTTACAAAAATTATTTTTTAATTTCTCAACAAAAATATTAATATATATATATATTGCCACTTTGTACAAACTATTGGCTCTTTGTATTAAATAGGTACAAATAAAAAACTATTAGATTGAAAACTGATTGCCCTTTTAATTATCAAAATTTCATATTCTTTATGTCTGGTCTTATTTCATTTAGCTTTAAGGTAAATTAGGATTCACTTTTAATTTTGGTCTGTATTTATATTTCAAATTTAACATGGAAAAAATCATTGTTCACACAAACAGGTTGTTCAAAAAGGCAATAGGAATTTGATAGCTTTATTTGAAATGCCTTTAAATTCTTTTTTTCGGTTCAGCCAAAAGTTAATAAGCGTGTAATTTTCGAAATCTTCAGTTAGAGTTCGATCACAGAAAATTTCTATCAATTTTTCTTTTTCTTTAAGAGATTGTTGAATTTAATAGTTGAAAATATTTTGTTTATTTGCGTATCACCTATTTCTATCTACTGTAGAGTCATTAAAAGTTAATTGGAAGCAGAAAAGGTGAAAAATATGCAACCGCCTTCGCCGGGAATCGAACCACGGACCTCTCGAATACCGGCCCAGCGTGCTACCGTTACACCATGAAGCCACGCTAGAGAAGTGGGAGAAATACCTTATATACTCCCCTTTTTAAAGGGCGACTAGGGTTTTAGAGGACCTAGTCGCCAAATCCTGGGTGCGGAGAATCATCATCCACAACCCTTTTAGTTCGGGCGCTACTTGTAGAGTCATTAGGATTTTTTTTGGAGGCCGGAGAAATGAAAAATTAGCAACCGCCTTCGCCGGGAATTGAACCATGGATCTCTGGAATACTGGCCCAGCGTGCTACCGTTACACCACGAAGGCACGCTAGGGAAGTGGGAGAAATACCTTATAGTACCACCGGTTGAGAACCGCTGAGTTACATGATTGTTTTCATGAAGCCCTCGATAATTATCTGTCTTAGAAGCCATGCCATCATGGAACATGTTTTAGAAAAAAACTGATTTATATTCCGTTACATAGGAAAAATATAACGAAGAGAATCTGAAGCCTGCTTTTGAGGCTCGAGATTCTCGGAGATGAACTACCAATATCCAATAACCTTATCTGACAGTTTAAAAATTCTTCCCTGCAAACAAGGTAGGATAAATCCGTAAATTATACTCATTTAAATCCGATGAAACATTTTAAAACACCATATATGTTATTAACAATGAAGTTTTAAAAAGGTACTCGATGAAGTAATTATACAAAATATTGCTACAAAAAAATTATTATTAGATCGTAAAAATCATTCAGGATTTTTTGCTTCAGTTTAATTATAAGATCCCAAAATGCTTAGAGGTTGAATGAAAATGAGGCCAAAATTATCATCATGATACCATTATTATGATGTTTCCAAAAAAGGGAGCAACGGTTTACGAAATCCATGTTTTTGACCTTTGCCTGATGTACAGAATATGTCTTGGGTACCCGATTTTATGTAATAAATCTTCATAATAAAAATGTTGTAAAAATTATTGTTAATAAAAAATTCAGAGAAAACTTGCAAATATTGGTTTTTGCTATAAGACTATAGGTTTTGCATTTCTGTACTAAAACTATACCAGAAATTTACCATCCGTTTTGCAAGATTTCAGTCTGTTTAATGCGAGACATTCAATTACGGTATGTAAAAGTCTATTAAAATATTTCTGGAAAAAATGTGAAGAAGCAACTGAAAGGGAAGAATATTACCTTAATTACCAAGCTTTTAGAATATAATCCTGAATAAAAGTAAGGACATTTTATTAATGATAGATAATTATACTGGTAAGTTAAAAATTTTCTCCGCCCTTTCAGGATTATAAAAACTTAAGTTTCTACTTCACGTTTATTTACACTAGTTCTTTTCAAGCAGATTACTATTAGACGAGCCGGAGCGTGCCTATGTTTAAATTAACTGAAAATGGAGGATAATGCAGAGAAGAGCAGAATAGTAAGTTATACAGCGACGCTCACGAAATTCGAAATTCCAGTTGCACGGCTCAAACTTAGATTTGAGTGGAATTTAGAGCAAAATTGAGGAAATCCTTTGGTTGGAATAGAAGAGGGTATTGCTTAGCAACGGCACGGAAACCCAATAACGTGGCTTTGCAGTGAATAATGCATTTTTAGTAATTCAACTTGTGCAATTCGTAATTCAAACGTTAAAACACTTATTGATATATTAACTTATTTGATATTAAGATGGTTAAAAATGCAGATGTATAGAAAGGTATGATATTAGTGGTGGTGGTAATAGGGGAAGAAATCTTAATAGTTTTACAGAGAGATTTTAAATTAGCCTATGAAAATAATTCTACGAGCTGACAGTATGATCATTTGTTTGCTTTTCTACATCTGTCATATGAATGCAAACCAATTTCCCTTGGAAAGTCTTCTACAGTGGCATCACTTCTCATAACCAGATAACATTCAAGTGTTCGGCTGTAATCATACAATGAAATAAGCAAAATAATTCTTTTTGTCTCTGATTTTTAATATGCAAGTTTTAAATGGTTTGATGATAGATTTGTTTGCTTTGAAAATTTTGATGTCACCCTCCCGAGAAGGAAACAAAATTCTGTTGATATTGACTCTTGGAATTCATTTTACAGGTAATCAATTATAAAAAATGTAAGTAAGTTTTAAAAAAAAAGTTTAAAAATTTAGATAGTGACATTAGCATTTTATAAACGAGTTCAAGTAAATATATGAACGTAAAAGAGTCTCGTGTTTGATATCGTGTATTATACTGTTCATTGGTAGTTAAAATTTTACTGGAGCACCTTCAAACTGCGAGTTACCTTTCTTTTGAACAGAAACATATTTCTCAAATTCAGTTCCAAAGAACTTGTGTAGGTCTGAAAAATAAGTATGAAAGAGTTGTAAAATGTACTTTGAGCATCAGAAATCCGGTGGTAAAAGTAATGGAAAATAAATAATATTACATATCTAAAAGTGCCGAAAAAGTCACAAGATCTTTTGCTGAGCTGAGGATTCAACGTTGCGCCGTGCTTTACTTATTACTTGAAAACGTTACAAAATTTTATCAACCGTAATAAATTTGAAAATAAATAATACACGATATTAAAATTTAACTAAAATCACACGTCTGTCTTTCAGAGTTAAAAACCAAGTTCTCTGACGTGCTTTACTCATTTCTTGCCAAAGTCAGAAATTCAAGATCAAAAACAAACTTTTGTCACATTAAAAGCATAAGGACTTTAGTTGCTATGCGTTTCGTATATTCTGATGTGCTTCACGTATTACTTACCTGTTTGATTTGTCCTTCTGCATATATTATTTTTGGGAGACTAGACAAAATTCCAGAAATTTTCCGTATTGTTTTCTTTTGGGTTTTTCTGAACTTAAACTTCTATATGGGAATTGCCAACAAAATACAAACCAATTTACGTATATTTATAACAATTTGTTGCCAGTCTACAGAACCATTAAGGAGAAAATGAAATTTTGGAGATTTAGTTAAAATTTGATAATGAAATATTCCACGATTTGAGGGGGAGGGGATTATATTGAGTTTTCCTTTATGTTTGATTTGTAATTATAAACTAATACGTAATTTTGAGCTCATTTTTAAACAAAACGCACATCTGTCATTACGTTTCAGCTGATTTAAAAAAGTTTTACTTCATGCTTTTTGTTTTAATTTCGATCTTTTATTCAAAATTCTAAAATTAATGTTGTAAACACCTTAAGTAAATTAGCACAGAGCAAAGTGTTTTAGCGGTACGATGTTCTTATTTAGGTTTCATAGAGTTTTATATTTATCTAATTATAAAGTTATGAAAAGTAAATAAGAAAATGCATATTTTTAGAATGCTCTAAGAAAAAAGTATAGTACTAGTATTTTTAAATTCTTGAAACATTCTGGAAAACTTCTTAGTAGCAAAGTAGTAATTAGATTAACTTTTATTCGAGGATAAAATGGCTTAGCTTCCTTCAAGAAAGGAATTTTGTGTAGTTCATTGTATATGCAAATATTTTAATTCTTTTCAAAATTAACTGAATTTAAAAAATTAAATACTTGATAATATTTCTAATTTTTATACATTTGTAATAAATTCATTACGTATTTTAATGCTGGCATTAATTTTTATCACAGAAATGAGCGTGTAAGCAATCAATTTATTGCGATGATACCCATACTATTCATTACTTTTTCTGCAGCATTAAATAAGTTTGGAGCATTAATAATTAAAGTCAGTAAAAATAATATATATGGCTTCTTTAAGACATTATAAAATATAAGTCGCTATAAACGTCATCTATTCATTATTAATAAAAATCTGATAATGACAGGAATACTTTAATGGATATATTTTGTTTTCGTTATCCAAATTAGTTCCTCAAAGACGAATTTTCTTTGCTCATATTGAAATAACATGCACTTATAAAAAGAAATACTTCAAGTTTGTAACATGCTTTTAATGCTTCTAACTTTTCGGGTGGATCGTATGTATGTTCTTCCTTTTATAATGAGTTAAATTATCTCATTACTAACTGACGATCTAAGTTGCTTTAAATGCCGAGAATGGAAAAAGTTTATTTCATCGTTATTATGGCGTTTATTTTTCTTATTATTCTTATTTATGGCGTTTCTTTCTTTTCGTTCTTGTGTATGTGATTTCAAAATACAAGGAAAAAATACACAACAGTTAATTTATATTCCTTTTCATAAAA